TTTCTGTGTCACTGGATGCAGCTCCCTGCAGAAGGAGCTAGGTTAGATGTGCCAGCAATGCAGCTATGCCTAATGACAGCTGACCTAGCAACTGTGGCAGCTCCCCATTAGCAAGTAGAAGTTTCTCCAGAACGATTTTTTCAATAGGAACAGCTTAGAAAATGAAGTATATTAAGTATCTGCTTCAGTTTTGTTTTTAAGACTAGATTAAAAGGCAAGATACAATGGGTGAGTAATTTTAAAGATTATTGTATAATGGCAGAGATGTAATGGAAGTCTCATTAGGGCTCTCTTTTCTCCACATAGTATTTTTCAAAAGAGATGATCTATTTCTTGATGGGAGACCTTTCTATTATGGAGGAAATTATGTAACTTTCTCTTTGATAGCAGAAAAGACCAAAATTGTTACCTACTCTCCATTAAAATTGTCATTTTACAGCTCACCTCCTCACAGAAAGACCTTGAATAGGGTTGGTATTATTCCCAGACAGCAAGAGAAAAAAGTAATTGGTACCAGCATATTGTCTGAATGTTAATAATATTTCAGTTTTACCTTTGTTGAAAATATAATTTACTCCCACCATAAATTAGAAGGGAGGAGATTTGGCACAATCACAGGCTTACTGTGATTCTATGTAATACTTTTTAGCTCAAAACCATTTTACATTATTTAGTCTTACGGAGGATTGTCTCCTACACTATAATAGATGGCAGTTTTAGATGACAAGATTTTAAAGCCCCAGACATGGGATATCATTTATCTAGGAGTGAAATGGGATGAGCTGCAGAAGATACTGCATCACAGATGGGACCTATGGGGTCAGGCTCTGGGCTTTGCAGAAGAATCTTTGCACTAGGCATAAACAGAGGTAGTTTTACAGGGAGAGGGCACAGGAACTGCTGGAGCTATTCATGATTAGAAGCCAAGAAAAAGGTGTATTTTGAGTTACTGCCAATGAAATAAGTACTACTTTTCTGCTCCAGCACTGAACTAGAACTGCTTGACCTTAGGATTAGAGGTGGGTGGGATGGGGTGGGACAAGGTACTGTGATGTTGCTCTCCTGTGAACACCACATCTCTTTCATGCAGTCAACCAAATGATGTGGGTTGGGTTTTTTCCTCCAGCTACAGTACATTCTCTGCATATTACACTGAAGTTTTTCTTGACCAAAAGTGGGACAATTTCAGTCGTGGCTAGATCCTAAAGAGAACCAAAAAATATTCTGGTTTAGCTTCTCCTGTTGCATCGTGGTAGTGTATGCAGCAGTAGTAGGAAAAATGTCTTTCGTCTCCCTCGCATTTCACCTCCCAAAAGAGCAACCACTGTTTACACTATGCAGAACATACTGTTTTTTTCCATACATATCTCCTTTTCTCTTCTGATAGTTTTTTAAGAGCTCATTTAAACTGCTTCTTCCTTTTCACAGGGCTGAGATATTTATGCATTATAAAAGTTTTGTCTACAACAGAGGTTGATTTTACTACCTACATTCATTGTTCCCAACCCTGTATTAGTGAGATGTTCCAGGAGAAATCTTAACAGATACTGACAGATTGCCTGGGAGAAAGTGGTATCATCTACTGGAATAAATGAAATTGCAATATACTCCCAAAATTTTAATTTTTGCAGAGTTAAATAGGATAATTCTTGCTTGTGGAAAATTGTGTATGTACTTTTCAGAACAGACAGATATAAGAAATGTGTTTGAAAAACAGAAAGAACAGAGCAGAGTATCCATTTGCCCAGCCTTCCACCAGTAACCCTTCCTGCTCCAAAGGTGGGGATGGCTGTTGTGAATGCGTTGAGCATTGCTGGGAAAGGGTAACCACAGTAACTCCAACTGGCAGAACAAACAGGGTGTATTTAGTGTTTCTTATGCATTCTACAGAATTGTAGGCAGGTGCCTCACAGGTCCGGTAGGGCACACATATTCAAGCAATCCACATCAGGTACTTGGTGGGATATGTAGCTGTGCATTTCAAGGGCATAGGTAATTCAAGATAATTGAAACATCAACAGGAGCACGTGTCTTTCTCTTCACTGCACTTGATTTGTGGATAATTGGTTTCTCTTTGCATAATATATATATAGGTCATGAATTGATGACAAGCAGTTGTTGAAAGTATTTGCAGCTCTGGAAAAATAAAGTGCTTCCACTGTTCTTGTTTATTGTTTGATGAAAAATATGTCATTTTGCTTGAGGAGTTTATTTTTGGAGTCCAGAGAACAGCTTAATCACTTTAGGAGGCTAATTTATGAAACCACTGTAAAATATCATAGTCTATAGAGTAACTTGGGTACAACATGGCTCATAGAATTAAACAGTATTTAAGCATAAAATTAAGCTCAGAGAACTTTCCAGTAATAATCTGTATAAGTCAAAGTTTCCAGGCACTAACAATTATGAATTTACCACTATGGTAAAAATGAATTTGACTGCTTACAAATAATGAAAATAACCATAGGGGTTAAAGATGTATGGCTTTCTGATGGGTCCATTTGGTAGAGAGAAAGTTAACTGTGTGCAGTTATCTTGCTTTTTTTGGTACTCAAGCAGGTGTTGGTCAGTGTAGACAAATCCCTTGTCTGCCTGAGCTGACTGTGCCTCTATAAATCCATTGCTACCACAGCTGGAACTGCTGAGATCTCCAGTGCCTTTATCTGGCTACTGCTAACCACTTTGTTGTTGCACATTCCCTGCAAGGAGAGGGCCAGTGAGTATTTTCAGAGTATTTCTATGACAGATGAAAGGAGGGCCTGTGTTCATGTGTGCTGTAACAGTTGCCTGGGAGCCCCCGGTGGTCCAGGGGAAAATTCACTGCACTGTCACTGCAGAGACCCGGGTTCGATTCCCGGTCGGGGCGCCTCCCCGGGCAGATGGAGCTCGCTAGCCCTGTAAGGCAATCCATCTACGTCCTGAGGACCTCACTGCCACCGTCCAAGCGTGCTTGGCCCCGGCAGATGAACCTCAGGATTAAAGGGTGAGCTCAGTTCCGCGCACACTGTGTCTCACCTAAAAAATCCAATGCGCAGGCTGGAAGGTGGAAAGACCTTCCCCGGTTCTTCGTTCGCGAAGAGACTGGCCATTAACAGTTGCCTGAACAGTCTAGAGATTTCTGTCCTACCAGGCAGAGCTTCTAGCTTAGCTCTCAGAGACAGAAAGCCTTGCTAGAATGGTACCTACCCCTCCTGAGCTAAGGAGCCTCTGTGCACATCACCACTCTAATGTTAGCTTCTTGGTTGCTGGTTTCAAGGCAATCATTTCACCATTACTAGTTGGGGGATGTGCTCCCTCTAGCTGTCATCTGCTCAGTCAGGCTGTTTGGGTTCCCAGCATGAGCCTGCAGATCCCTTCGTGCAGCTAAGAGGCGTTGCTCCTAGAAGTGAATAGTAATTATGATCTACTCTGGATTTGGCTCGTTGAGCTCCCAACTGTAAAATAAAGATTTTTATCTGTGTAGTAGGCAGGTTGTGAAAATACCTACAGTTGTGTATTATCCAGCATTCCAATACTATACTAGTCTCCAACAAGCAAAAGCAATGCTGTTTATGATTTTTTTTAGGATACCACTTCTTAGGTCTTTGTGACTTCAAGTAATTGCTGACAGTCAGGATCACGTACGAGCTTTAGGCTTTTCAGAGAGTTTTTAATAGCTAGTTCACCACTATCTGGAATCTCTTTCCTCTCCCTTGGAATTACACTGATCCAGGCTCAAAGTAAACAGAATTGGCTATAATGTCATGACTACGTCCAGTGTGATTTTAGACTATCAATAACTAACAAAAAGTTTATCACAAGACTCTCTAGGTTGATAGGCAGAAGAGATCATGGCTAACAGGAGCTGAGAAAAAATATGATTTCTTCATTTAGATGAGTTAAATCCAGAGAGCAAATTTAGAGTAAATTAATGCATTTATGATGGATGTGCAAGCCAACTCCAGTGGGGACATAAACCCAAAGTTGTTAATTGCATTTCAGTTGCCAGATGATTGCAAATCGGGTGTAAATATTCGATAGTGTTGCAGTGCAACTGGTGCTAAGTATCAGTTTGTATGCTTGGGCACTCATCAGTTGTTAAAAACAAACTATTTGCATGTGAGGGCAAACAAGTGTGATGAGGATTGAGTTGACAGGATTCAGCAGGATGAAAATTAAGTATCTCAGACATCAGTTTTGGTTTCTCTCACAACACTCCTATTTTTTCCAACAAGGTTAGGTGTAAGGGCTATTCCTTCTCCACCATCTGTGGAGAGTATGCCTCATTGTGTCAGAAGCTTAATCTGAGCCTTATGGAGCGTCAGATAAGTAACTGCAACTGTTTGGGGCTAGCTTCTGACAAATAGCCCATACAACTATTTACAGAAATAACCGAGGGTTTTTCTGTTCTGTGGAAGTACCATTCCTGTTCAGCAATGGAGAAAGAGTTAGGTACCACTTTGATTACTGTGTGAATATCTCTTGTCAATACTCTAGTGAAAGAGGATGTCGTGCAGACCTAGAAAACTCTTCTGAAGTCCTTTCTGCTAATTGAAAAGTGTTCCACAGTGACTATAGGATTGGGAATATGTGTCTGGTTTTGTTCTGAAAAAAAGTAAGTCAGTGGCTTGATCATGAGTATAGTTGATGTTAGAATAAATATTGAAGTTGGAAAGAAAACTAAGACTATTGCTAGGATATTTCTTAGACTTTAGAACAGCTGGGTTTTCCTCCACTCTAAGGGGTTGGGTTTTTTTGTGTCATGTTTGTAAATAACGTTCTGTACACAAGCACAGAAGTTCTTTTTCTTAAAGAAAAAGAATTCAGTAAATTATTTTTGGGATTACAAGAACCAAGAAGCTCACACCGTGTAAAATATTCTGTAGTCTGTGTAAATACATTTTTTGTATTTATACCTAAGGAGCAGGCCAGGTTTCCCTGAGGCTCAAAGACAGTGGTGGAAACCCTGAGTTGGAGACAGCATTTTTGAATACAACAGCGTGGTCACTCAGATCTTCCTGGCTGATGGTGTTCTTATAATATTATATTCATCTTTCTTCTAGTGTTTTACAGTTTTTGGTATAGAGACTGTAGAAGTCCTAAAAGTTCAAACTCTAGTCTTGCTACTCTTGCAATTGGTACCAGTCTTGAGATTGGTACAAAGGTTCACCCATCCTGGGCATTTATACATTCTGGGGAGACAGGTGTTTCTCTTTGGGGACATCTTCTCTGTCCATCTCATTTAAGAGAATTTTTACCATTCCCAGAGGAAACAGTGTGTAAATAATAGATCAGATCCAAATCATCATAGTGGCCATGTTATTTCCCCTTCACAGCCCTTGAAATTTTATTGTCTTCTGAAAGAAAACATCAGTTGACTCACAGCATATTCAAACCATCAAAAATTCACAACACAGGCAAAACTATTTGCAGAATATTTTTTTCCCCTGGGTGGATCGTTCATACTCACCCCTCTCTCCGCAGCTTCTGCCATGATCAGCTGTTGAATTTTGAAGGTTTCCTTAATTGTAATCCACAAAACCATTCCAGTGGAAGGACGGTTCTTCTCTGCCAAGGCTGGCAAAAGAAAATATGTAAAATCAATGTTTTATTGATCCTGCCACTCTCCAACGCTGTCATACTTAAAGTAGCTTTAAGATGGGCAAGATTTCATCCACAATACTGTGGGCAATTTACTACATAATTTTTTTACAGCCATGTTTTATGTGATGACCAAACAATTCTCTCTTCTTCTGGACCCTGGGCAAGGTATCCTCTTGTCAGTCAATAATAACTCCAAATCAGTGATGTACATAGTTCAGCATAACTTAATCAATGCTCGTTTTAAATTAAATATTTTAAAATAATTTTAAAAGCTTAATTATCCTCCATTACTACCAAATGTGTACTGGTAGAAAAGGTACAGAAATGCAGGAATGCTGTCTTCATTTGGACTGGTAATGATCATGCTAATTTGATCCTTTTCTGTGCAGTGTGGTACATTACCTCTTTCCATCATTTCATTACACGATCTGCACCTGCTGCTAAATCATTATATTTGCAGCAAATCGTGGTACTAGTCTGCTTTGTATTTCACTGTGAAAACTGTAGTTCTCTTGACAAAATGCTGCTCCTAGACAGTCTATTTGCAGCTAGCATCTTTCAGTGGGAGGCCTGCTAACTTCGCTTGCTTTTCTCTGTTTTTACACAAGTGGTGGGCTGTAGACTCATTGACAGAGTCAATTTTTTCATTATCAGCATATGCAGCTGTTTGAATACTAATTATTCCCTCATTTTTGTCCATTTTCTGCTCATTGTCAAAGAAGCTAAGGTGTTTTGTCGAAAGTCCAGATTAGAGGTCAATTTTGCACGACAATTATTGTTTAAATAAAACATCACATAACAAAACGACTTCCTGGGAACATACATGTCTTGTATAATTACCTTTGGGCAAAATTAGGCTGCAAAAGTAAATCTGAACGGCAGAGTTGTTAGAAATCTCCTGAAAGTGTTTTAATATTTATAGTAGTTCTTAAAAAGGAAAGTCCAGCAGTTTTAGCAACACTTGCTTTGCATAGCTTACTTACCCCACAGTCAGAGACCACCTTTGCAGTTTATCAGGTGAAAAAACATTTCCCTAAAGGAAATGAACCCAGTGTAGTCTTTACTATGCAGCTTGTGTGAAAGCTTATAGGCTGCAAAGCAGAAGACAATAGCCTTAGCTGTGCCTTTGAGGCACTGCTTGTCACACAATCCAACTCTGAGGCAAGCAGCTCCAAGGCAGCAGAACAGGCACAAAACTTATTTCCCACACAAGCTGCGGGGAGTTGTGAGTTGCTGGTGATTTTCTCTGCCCAAACCAGTAATCTGGATTTAAAAAAATAAATAAATCTAATTATCTTACGTTTTATGCTTTATCTGAAAGCCAAGACTTACCTAGGGAGAGGTGAACGTGGCACAGTGCAGTCACTTCCCATCGGCAGTGACTCCAAAGTTTGGTCCCTTCAGCTGCTGCTCTCTCTGTGAGGCTCTCACTCTTGGCAGTGCTTAGAATATCTTTTACATCCTCACTAAGCAAGAGATTTCACTGGAACTGCCTCCAGTTGCTGGCCTCTGACAGACAGCAGGACAACCCTTGGCAGAGCCAAGGATGATTTGCCTTCGGTTCCCCGTGACATTCCTCCAGCAGATGAGTCGCCAGCTTTGTGAGCACTGCAGACTGATGGGTTCACATGCCTGGCTCTTGCCTGCACACTACTCTGAGAGCTCCTGGTAAAATTGCAGGTATCACTTATCTGGGTGTTTTAGGCTCTCTGCTGTTTGCCTCTGACCAGCTCACATTTTTCTGTGAGGAGCTCACTGAAGATGCACGGCAGGGTGTCCCTCCCAGGATGGGCTCCCAGCTGAAATGTCCCTAACTCCTGTGTTCAGAAAGGTGTGAAAATTGTCCTGGAGTTCACCCATGTGTAACCCTTAGTGTCTGCCTCTTCCTCAATGTCACCCTGTGCTTCTGTGCAGGGGTGAGTTTGTGCTTCAGGTGAAGAGGGGCTTGTCTGCCAGCTGAACTTCTGGTAGCCTGATGAGGTGTTACAGTGAGTGTGACGTGTGAGTTTAAACCCAGAGATGACTATGCTAAACCTTTTCTATGCAGTTAGTGTAATAAAGTGTACAAATGCAGATTCGCATTTCCGAAGACAAACAGAGGCTGCATCGCCTCTCTCCCTCATTTGATTATGTGGCTTGCCACTGTTGCTAATGGATTACATTTGCAGCTATTACCAATTGCTCTTAGATATAATTTAGTCTTGTTAGATACAGAGAGAAAATAAAACAAAAGGCAATTTGTTATCAAATCATAATACCCTTACCGCATAAAACCTTTCTGATTATTACTTTTAAGTTAGTCAATAATGTGTTCTGATGCTATAATGTAAGTGGAAATGTGGCATCCAGGGTAATATGAGACAGCACATGTGCACAACAGACATTGTCTCATCTCTAAAACATTACTGTATCCCTACTGCCAGAAAAATAAGTTGATTTTCATAGAAATTCAAAGAAAAACTCTGATTCTTGTCAAGCTCTGAGCATTTTAACGTGTTTGAAGTTCTCTTGGCACTGCTTCTGCCTTAATAATAGACACAGTTTTCTGCAAGATAGGCAGATATGTAAGGCCGTATATTTCTGTATGCATATGTAGCTGTATATTTGCTTCCAAATTAGGGTTTTTTGTGTCCTTCTAACAGTAAACAGATTTTGCGTGGAATTAGATATTGTTTATGTAAATTTATAAAATCATATAATAACTAACAGGGCCTGTTAAACTAAACTGAGAGTTGGTGTGAGCCACTGTCACTGGGAGATGAGCTCCAAGCTGGGAGGGTGGGTAACATGGTAGGCAAAGGGTTTGACCTCCAGTGATAAAAGAAAAAAAACAAAGCTTGAGTTCATAGCAAGTTACCGGAGAAGCTTTTCAGAGTTCAGGCATAAAGCACTGAGCTGTGTTTATGTTGGGATCCTAAAGCAGTTTTTAGGTTGTGATTAGCTTTGGCTGGGATGAAGGTTAGGAGTTAGACTCAGTAAAACTGATTTATGCAAATCTAAAAAGTTATCTGAACTCCACCATAATCCTACTTGTAATTTCTACATGGCCTAGAAAAGATATGGGGCAAAACCATATTTGGGGAAAAGAAGTGGGGTGCAATGGCTGGAGCTCAAGTTGGGGCTTGAATTCACAGAGCTCCAGGGCAAAGGAGAGTGTCTGCAAGGGGAAACAGGACTGCTGACCTGTGTTTTGGCTGGCAAGCTGGGGGCAGGTGAGGAAATTCCATTGTGAAAGGATGGAGGTTATATTGTGATATATGCTGAATCAATGCTAAGGTGATGACTTGTTTCAGATTGACCTAAGAAATCATGCCAGACTTGGTTTCTGAGCCACCTTTTGCTCTGGTGCTTAATTGCAAAGCTGAGGAGAAAGATGAGTTTTAATGCTGTGATACAAGCTGGGATTTGCCTTTGCTAGTGCCAGTAAGTCTTGCTGACAAGTTGGTTACGCAGAGCTGGCCAGGCTCTGTTGGGTGTCAGTGCCAGTTTGTGTTACTGTGATGTTTGCATCTGGATCTGGATGGTGTTACTAGGTTAGGGGAAGCCTATTCTTGGCTTGTACTTAGAATTAAGGGTTTGCAAAACCAAGTGTAGAAAAACTCAGATGCAAGCCTGTTTTAACTCGTGATGACTGTCTCTGCACAAACGTATAATTAAAAGTTGGCCAATGATGGATATTTTTCAGGAGGCTGAAAAATTTCGGGTTCTTCAAATGCTCTTCAAATATAATTTTCTTCTTTGAATTTGCTTGGATCTTGGCAACAGCAGCACAGATGCTACCAATGTGCACTGAACACACTGACCTTTCAGCAATTTGCCTGTGTGTCAAGCAGTGTATCCCTCTGGGCCACAGGGAATCCCACGACGCTGGAAGCAAAACCAAGTAAAAGTAAAAAAAAATCAATGCTCTTGATTTCAAAGAACAGCAGAGACATAAGTCAGTCACAGAGACGTCATTTCTTACTACTCTCCCTGTCATATTCTGCCGTAATTTCATTGGAAATCAATTTTAAGTGCTATACTAGATGGGGCTTCTTCTGACTGTTTTTTCAAAGTCCTTTGATTTTTTTTTTTTTCCCCTGAAAGCTTTAAAAAAGGAACAAAGTTGGTGGCTGACTAGTGGTAACTGGCGAGTTAATTGAATGCCTGGCTCTGGAGGGAAGCAAAAAATTGCAGCTAACTATTGCCCGGTCACTGGAGAAACTGTCCAGCCTGATGGCCTCTGGTGATGGAGCTGCACAACCCCTGGGCAATAGTTGTTTCTAATACTGTTATCTAAAATTAAAATAAAAAAACACATAAAATTCTGTTGTAAAATACATGTGTTCTTTAAGTGTAAGTTATGGTAGACTTTGGTCTGTAAACACCGCTCTAATTACATGGCAAAGGAAGGTCTCATGGCTGAATCAGAGAACTCGAAGTCAAAAGGTCTAGGTTTCCACTTTTACCACAGACTTGCTCGGGAACTTTGGACAAGTCATTATTTTTGTGCCTCAATGTTCCAAACTATAGTGTAAAAGTATTTAAACTTTGAGATAAATGTACTATTTTTTGTAAAGGGGCCCTTAGAATAAAATGCTTTTCCTGAGTCTGCCAACATCCATCTGGGATTGTGAGCCCTGGTGTGGGATAGATCACTTTCTTACCAGAAAACAGGTACTTTTCTCTACTTTTGCCCTGACGTTGTGCAGAAATAGAAGGAAAAAGATCAAAACCACTATGTATAATCTGCAGCAGTTTATAATCCACTGTAGTTTTGTTTCATTAGAATCTGTTAGATAGATTTCATTATGTTTTGGGAAGTCAATGAGTCACTTCACTTGTGATGAGTGGATCTTTGTGCATTAAATTATTGCCTCCTATTATGTCATATGCACATCATTTGAAGTAGCTCTGCCTAATTTGCTTTATCATTAATCATTACAAGTAAAAATTAAGGAAGAAGTTAAGGAGGATTTATCATGCACATGGAGTGTAAGGCTTTATTGATAGACTGAAGGATGATGCCTGTTAAATGCTTGCCTTCGCTAAGTAATATAAAGCAGCTTGCCAAGGGCAAGCTCCAAAGGAATCACAAATCTACAGATTTGTTTTTTTAAAGTGTAATCAGTCAGAGGCCACTCTGTGGTCACTTGTAGGTGAATCAACAAAGAACAGCACTTGATTCCTCAAGGACTTGTAGAGGAGAAAAACCTGTCAAAATCAGCCCGCTACTTTGAAGAACTGCAAAGAGCACAATGCTCAGGGAGAGAAGGAAGATGTCCTCAGATCTGTGTGATGAAGTCCTGCTTCCTCACTGATCTCAATTGTGTAACTAGAGGCTTGGTTTATACAGCATATGAAATTCTGTCTTTAAAGCAAATTTTCAACAAAGACTCTTGAAGACTTGAGATTTTTTGCATGTTTGAATAGTACAGAAATCATGAACGTTTTCTGGGAGTTGGTAACATGAGAATACATTTTTAAGTTGTGCTTGTCCAGCAGAGATGATTTTGGAAAACAAACCTGACCACTTACCATCAGTGTTCATAGAGAGAAAAGATTGTTTCTTAGGGTTTTACTTTTCTTTTAAAAATTGCCTTATGGCACAAAAATGGCTTGAATGGCTTTTCTGGGATAGTGTAAGAAGGCAACCTTTTTGACTTTGCATCTTTGCGGAGGGTCAGGTTGAAGAACCTCACTGTGCTGAGCGAATGTTTGTGGGAACAGAGCTCCAGGGAAAATGAGTTTTAAGGCATGTTCAGTAATGAGTATATGGAAATTCTTCTTCTCCAGCTATCTCAGCCAACTTTACTTTCTAGGATCTTTGAGGAAGGCAGTGGTGCATTCACCATCCCTTATGGTACTGTCAAGTGCACTGCTGGCGCTACAGGAAACCCTCAAGGTGACCACTGTGTTAAACAGCAGAATTGCCAAGCCAGGCTGATAATCAACACCCACTTCTTTTCTCTGCACAGGTCCATGCAGCACCTGTGCTTTCCAGGCTTGAGCACCAGTGAGTTTAATCAGCTCTTGAGTTGGGAGACAGGTGGTGACAAGCGGTGTTCCTCAAGGGCTGGTGTTGTGAGTGGTGCTGTTTACATCTTTGTCAGTGACTTGGACAGTGGGATTGAGTGCACCCTCAGAAAGTCTGATGATGACAGCAAGCTGAGTGGTGCAATTGACACACTGGAAGGAAGGGATGTCATCCAGAGGGACTATTGCATCCAGGTCTAGGGCCCACGACATAAGAAAGACGTGAACGGGGTGGAGCAAGTCCAGAGGAGGGCCATGAAGCTGATCAGAGGCTGGAGCACCTCTTCCGTGGAGACAGGTTGAGAGAGTTTTGGCTGCTCAAAACTGGAGAAGAGAGAGCTCAGGAGAGAACCTATAGCAGCCTTCCAGCACCTAAAGGGTGCCTGAAGAGAGCTGAAGAGGGACTTTATACAAGGACATGGAGTGATAAGCCAAGGGACAACAGCTTTAAACTGAAAGAGAGTAGGTTTAGATTAGATGTTAGGAAGAAATTCTTTACTGTGAAGACGGTCAGTCACTGGCACAGTGATGTTCAGAGATGTTGTGGCTGCTCCACCCCAGGAAATGTAAAGGCCAGGTCAGATGTGGCTCTAAGTAACCTGGTCTATTGGACTGTGTTCCTGCCAATGGCAGGAGGTGGAACTAGATGATCTTGAGGATCTCTTTCAACCCAAACCCTTCAATGACTGTATATGTTTCACTCTTGCATTGGCATAAGTGGGTTTTCTGGGCTCAAATTTGACCAGTGGTGAATGATAGCCTGGGTAGCCTCTGAGTGCCAAAATATATTTAAAGCAAATGATTCTTTCAATATGTGTTACTATTTGCATGTTTAACTGGGGCAGATGTTGACACAATGTTGTGTCATGTGAAATGAACGTTGTTCATTGTGAAAGAAAAGTAGTTCATGACAAGAATACTGAAAACCAGAAGCAAATACTTACCTATTCCTACTGAAGAATATAATTTGGGTCACCCTCTGTCATAAGGAAATCAAAGCCTTACAAGCAAAA